TGCTGCCGGGGAGGGTGTCAAGGAGGCGTTGTTATTGCGTGCTGTGCTTTCGTTTGTTGCCCCAGAGACCAGAGGTAGCAGCATCCAGGTCCTTGAGGACAACCAGGGGGCCATGGCGTTGGTGCAGAACCCTCTCAGCTCAGGTCGCACGAAACACATCGACGTGCGGTTTCATTTCATCCGCGGATTGTTTAGGTCGGGGGAAATTTCGGTCAAGTTTGTCCCGACAACGGAGCAACACGCGGACCTCCTCACCAAGGCCCTTAGCAGGGCCAGTCGGCAGTATCACCGGCGCAAGCTGATGAATTTGCCGAAGTAGCTGTAGCAGTTTCTAGCACTTGGGAGAGGCCATGTTTTCCGTGCGGGGAAAGGCGCATAACTGTTGCGGTCTGTGTACCACTGGCAGGAGTAGGGGGCGTTGGGAGACCATCGTCCGGGGGAACGTAGTTCCTCGCGTTCTTGTCTTCGCCTTGGCCTTTCTAGTAAGTGCGGCCGTTGTGATCCGCTGTGATAGCGACGGTTTTTTGTGGTGGTAGGTTTTTCCTTGAGGGGTTTTGCCCGGACGCTGGGTTTCCCCTCCATGTATAACCATGTTGGTATTTTCTGATGCATCCAGGGGCGTTCTTGCCCAATTGATGGTTAGTCACTTGCGTGAAGAACCAGGGAGGGTGTTCGTGAGTCTGCGAACATTGCTGTTGGATACATGTGCTGGATGATTTTGTGTCACGCAGACTGGTAAGATTAGCGTTTGGTAGGGGGCACCGCGATGATTCACGGGGCCCCTCCTTGCTGTGGGAGCCGCTCTTTGAGCACTCCCTCATTCGTCCGTGCGAAGGACGGTTGTCGACCTCTCGTGAAGTTAATACATCACCAAAACAGTCTCACCCGATAAATAAGTGGCGTAGGCCGCAAACATTTCTTACCTTTCGGCCAACTAAGCGCCAATTCAGAACATATTTTTGGTCTACGCACAGGTGTACTTTACAGTCACTCTGTGAGCCTCTGCACACTGTTACTACACAGTGTTTGCCACATCAAGGGATACACCTATCACAAAGGTTACATCCCAACATATTACATACCTGTAGTCTTTCTGTAATTGGATGTACGTATGCATATAGGTTCTACTGTAGACTGTATGGACTAATAGTCTACAGTCTTTTTGTGTTTGTAGAAGTATTTATTTTTCCTGATAGCCTTAACGACGCCAATGTGTAGGACACACACGGAGAGTCGAGAATACTGTATGTAGCCCTAGGCTTCGCGGCGGATTGTGAACAGCCGGATGTACGGCTGTACAGCAGCAGTCCCGACGGTGCATGCACGCACATCAATTTTCGCCAGGCTATGATATCAGGCGAGAAAACTTATGACGGAGCTGGAGTCAGACAAAATCCACTCATGCTGTGTAATGATTTCGAAATTAAACCGGGCAATAAGGTTCCGGGAAAAACTAATACACCATGGGACTGCTGTAGTACGCTGCACCTGTCAGTAGTGCTTGGACCATATCCATCGATGTTCAAAATGATTTGCTGCCGAACCCACGCAGGCGTGTAAGTGTAAGACAGTGTGTCACATGTGTCACACACTTGGGGCAGCTTGTTTGTGGCGGTGGGCTTGCGAGGTCAGAGGTGGAGGTGTAGTGCAGTTGCTGTGATCCTTCCCACCATCGCTCTTCCCCTTGCCTCCTTCGTGCACCGACAACTACCACGCCAATGTCACGGTACTTTCCGGTGACTACTTTTTGCACTTCGGCAGAGCGTTTACCGCCGCGGATACGATGGACGGTTGCTCTCTGAAGTGCAGTCAGTAAACTAGTCCAATCCGGCCAGCGGCTTCGACCAGACAACCATCGCGAAACCGTCATGGCAACCGTGGAGTTGAGCGTGTTCGGACCCGGTTGCCAGATGAACGTTACTAACGAGGCGCTTGCCCTTGGGGGCGTGGTGGGATTCACTGTTGCCTTTGAGACGGCTGCGCACCGCTTGGAGCACCGTCTTGCGGGAACACCGTACGTGGGAATGCTCGCCAGAATCTACAAGGGTACGTGTCTAGATACGTCAGACAACGCCCTTAGGTACTTCGAGAATGAACAGTTACGAGCCAAAGTCAATGCGTGTGAAGAAACCTACCACGTAGGGAGGTTGGGTTCAAGCAGTTGGGAACAATTGGTGTATTTGATGTTTGTACCGTTTCATATGATCGTGTGATGTGTACGAATAAATAGTTTGTCGTCTTCTTATCAAGTGACGATTACCTTTGAGGAGGATTCTATTTACGTCACCGGTGGCGTTATTTCTTATGTGCGTCACCGCCCGTTTCTCAGCCCACAGAGCTTCAATTGGCACAAAATGAATTGCGTTGTGTAGCTAGGACCCACACCAATCATACAAGTCTTTCGACGTTCAAATCCGATAAGTGGTTGCGGAGATATGCTCAAAAGGGGGCTCAGCAGTATGATACTGCATCTACCACAAAAAAATCCGACTGTAACTTCGCGCAGAGAGCTCCGATCGACATCCATAGCTTAAGTGATGGCTGTGAATCGTGGGAACACAACGCGAGTTACATAGTTGGTGTCGATGAGAACTCTCTGCGAGGAGGCACGGTCGTTTTATTTATGGCAGATACGGTATATCATACCGCTGAGCCCCCTTTTGAGCATATCTCCGCAACCACTGATCGGATTTGACCGTTGAAAGGCTTATATGATTGGTGTGGGTCATAGCTACACAACGCAATTTATTTTGCGCCAATTGAAGCTCTGTGGGCTGAGATACGGGCGGTGACGTATATAAGAAACAACGCCACCGGTGACGTTATTTCTTTCAGNGGACCCACACCAATCATACAAGTCTTTCGACGTTCAAATCCGATAAGTGGTTGCGGAGATATGCTCAAAAGGGGGCTCAGCAGTATGATACTGCATCTACCACAAAAAAATCCGACTGTAACTTCGCGCAGAGAGCTCCGATCGACATCCATAGCTTAAGTGATGGCTGTGAATCGTGGGAACACAACGCGAGTTACATAGTTGGTGTCGATGAGAACTCTCTGCGAGGAGGCACGGTCGTTTTATTTATGGCAGATACGGTATATCATACCGCTGAGCCCCCTTTTGAGCATATCTCCGCAACCACTGATCGGATTTGACCGTTGAAAGGCTTATATGATTGGTGTGGGTCATAGCTACACAACGCAATTTATTTTGCGCCAATTGAAGCTCTGTGGGCTGAGATACGGGCGGTGACGTATATAAGAAACAACGCCACCGGTGACGTTATTTCTTTCAGGGCTTGAACGGCAAGGAAGGACGCGATTAGCACGTGCAATGAAACAACTGCTGATTTTTCGTAGTGGCCGTTCCTTACGTTGGAAGTTGCCAACGCGGTGCGTGCAAGAACTATCATTTCAACACGCCTGTACTCGCTCTCTGTTTCTGCCTTCGCGACTTCCGTGCCGTTGGTAAACGGTTGAAATATCCAGAGTTGATGACCATGGGCTTCCATCTCCTTGGGCGCCTTCCTCTTGCTGCAGTTCGGGAGCGTGGGTAGCACCCTGGGCTTCTACACGTTCGAGTTTGAACACATGGTCATTTTCTTCACGACGTTGATATTTGTGGCTCAGGTAGGGGCGGCGGGGGCGCTTAAGTCAGCAGTCTCACTGGCTTTCACACAACTGTCCACGGAACTAAAGTCCCTCCTCATGAGCTGAGAGTATAAGCCCTACGTTTTGTGGTTGAAGTGTTCCTCCTGTGAGCTCGTGGTTATCCCAAGCAAGTGCAAGACTTTGCGTCTCTCTCTGCATATCAGTGCGCGTTCTCGCATGGGAGGTAGGCGTGGCCGTGCGCAAGATGCGTACACCTCTTCTGGTTGTATGGGGTGGTACCAGCACGTGTCTCTCATATCTATCGTGGGATGACTATACGGTGTGGTTCCTGATCACTGATTCGAAGCGCTTTCTTTGCCACGTCCTACTTGGAGATACGAAACAGTCAGCGCACTAGCAGCAAAGCGTGGGCGGCCTGCCGCCAGTAAGTGTCAATTATTCATCACAACACAAATCAATCCTAGGCCACTACCTGGTCAGCCGTAAGTCGAGGGAAAACATCCTCAGACAACATCATCGTGAAACACCCGAAGAGCGGCACGCTGCTGTTCGTTGGACTCTCGGACACACCTTGATGCCCGACGCACGGAACAGGAATATTAAGCCTCGGTTGATGAAACTCGCAAGGTTCTCTTATATACAGGCACTCGCACCGGAACGCTGAGAATGCGATCGTGTCTGCCGTGGTATGTGGTCATCGCAGTAGTAGCACCGTGACCGACCGGAACCCATGGCGTTCAAAAAAAAAAATGTGAATACCACAAGTTGCCGCACATACCTACTCGCACGACTCGTCAGGCCTGCCTGATGATGGTGCTGAGTTCTCGGCTAAAGAGGCGGTACGAGAAGTTCACCAACATCAGCGTGGATCACCTGCTCACATTTTACTCCCTCCACCGCAAGAGCAAAGTGTTTCATGCCAGGTAACAAACAATGGCCGCTTCTCGAACCCCCCACCGCCCACCGGCCCAGCATGGTAGCACTCGAGAACTCCGCGAGCAGGATTCACATCGTGTCATCAAGACGTGTCGCCAATTGACCATTTGGCGGAGAAGAGTGGTAGCAAGATCGGCGAGCCGAACAGATGTCGTATTGCCCCGCCGTGCGCTGGTGGATCCAGCATAACGTACCCATCGGATGTCAGGCCTCACCAACCGGATTACGGTACCATGGTTGCACGCTGCACATTCTACATCAACGCATTGAACGTTGTCATCGTACGTCCAACGCACTTCAAACGATAAGCAGCTGACATGAAACCAACAACCACTAATGCCACACATTATTTATGTTGTTACCAACCACTTCCCATAGACTGCGAACAATCGCACAATGCCACTGCTCCCAGCCTACATAGCAATGAATGCTGAATATCGCGACCAAAAACACAACGCACCTAATCAGATGGCTGCCGGTTTCGGATCTACGAGAGGTGATGGAGTTTAAGATCGTGCATTCCTTCTTCCGGACAACATTTTCGCTGCCGACGACCTTCAACTTGGCGTTGTACATGCGAAAGGTCACCGACAGCCACATACTAAAGCTCGTGGACGTGGGGTCCTCGAACTGGGTTATTCTGGGTGTCGCGCTCTTCCTGAACTTGGCGAGGATCAAGATTTGGCAGGCATGATGCGTAAATGCTGGTGACGAATTTCGCCATGAACGGCACGCAGTACTAGAACGAATTTGATTCTCGACCCCCTTTTTAAATTTTCTGCGGTCAGCGTTGGCGAGTTAAGCCTGCCGGTCTTGCAATTCATATTTCCACTGGAGGGCTCCTCAAAACCCACAATCTGCCGTGGGATAGCAAACCGTAGCAAAAGTGGTCAACAGGCTGAAGACTATCGAAAGCGGCAAATTAGTCTGCCCTTCCTCCCCTTACCCCCAAAACGAGCCCTCTCTCGTGAACCCCTCTCACGGCGCTTCACGTTCGAGGTATTGATTGCCTGGTCG